GGTGGGGGGATGCCGGCCGGGCTGTGTAAGGGCGTGCAGGTGCTGACAGAAACTAAATATCCTGATGAATCCTGTATACGATGTGCCGTACTGCAACCAATCGCTTCACGCTGGCTGGAGCGGGCGGTTGGTTTTGTGGTAACGATATTTGATTGGGTACAACAATTGATGCGATCAGGCGAGCGCGAGCGTGAATGGTCTGTATATATGTAGTGAAATGTTTTTAAGTTGGTGTGGCTGCGTGACGAAAATGCGGAGAGGTACATGAGATACTTGTTCTCGGCGCATACGTCGCCGGTTCGATCCCGTGCAGGAGCACCTTTCGTCCTGGGCGATACCTCCCCTCAGCGCAAGCTGACAAGCAGCCCTCTGTTCATGTGGATCAGCGATGTGGTCAGCGAGACGGCATCCAACCTCACTGACAGGTTGTGGACGGCAAATATCGGAGACCAGATCGAAGTGCCGCCGGATGGTGAGTGGTGGGGGGGAATGGTGGGGAGGGTTAGGGTTAGGGTTAGGGGGGGGCCCGGGGAAAGGGGGTTTGGAGGGAACCCTGCCACACAGGGCACGCATCTAACCCCCACCTGCTCTTTACTTTTATATAAATCACTCAGCATTCACTTTTCACTCACAGCAGGTGGGGCAGCAGGCAGCACCCGCCCGCCAAAGTGCTTGATCACCTTGACACCTTACCTTACCTCCCCCTACCTGCCTACCTAAAACCCCTCTTCCCCCCCTCGAAAGGCAAAATCCTGCTGGGTTTCAGTCACCCGGTTCATCTGGGCTTGCTGCAGTCCGCCTTGAAGGTGTGGGGGGGGGAAGAAGGGAGGGAGGGAGGGAAGGAGGGAGGGGAAATTATAAAAAGTAGGGAGGGAAGGAGAGGGAAAAACTCCTTTGAGGGAATTAAGGGAAGGGGGCATGCCTTGGTCAGGGTGCTATCGCTGTCCAGACCCATGGGTCGGTGGGTCGGTGGACACCGTTTTGTGGAGTGAGGACTGGGACTGTCCGTGCATCCGTTCATTCATTCGCTCATCAAATTTCAGCAACCAGGAAGGCAGTTAGGCAGTTAGGCAGGCAGTCAAGGTTTAGAATACCGGAGGAATGAGCGTTCTCACGTATGTATGTGCGCACCGCGCGCTCTCGCTTGGCGCGTACGGCAGCGCGAGCACTGTTGCGTGTGTAACAACACACCACGCAACAAATTACCTGAAACGCGAATTTAATTACGCGGCGCTACTTCACTTCACTTCATACACAAACTACGCAACGCAACGCAACGCAGGTAGTCGAGGTGGCAGATCGCAAATCGGGTGCCGGCACCGCGGGGGGGGGGCCAGTGGGGCTCGCTGTGGCTCCGTGTCAGAGCGCCGCGCCGTGGATTATGCCGTACATGACGGTGGGTCGGGGTGGGGTGGTGTGTCGAGGCATGGCTATTTACACATAGACAGACAGACAGACACGCACACACATGTCACTTTCGTCTGCGCTGTGTCCTTTCCTTTTCTCTTTTTTTCCTTTTGTCATTATTATTCCCCACTGGACCGCTCCACAGCGGCAACTCTGCAGCCCTGGTCGCCCAACCTGCCTCATCCCCCCACCCAAACACCCACCCCAAACCCATCATACATGCATCCCCTACACCCCACGCACCTCCCAGGTATCCAAAACCGCCGCCTCTCCGCCCCAACCATCAATAACGGTCAACTACCATTAACTAACAATGTAACGGCCGCGGGTTGCGCAGGGGTCTTCGTCCTCCTCCTCTTCCTCTTCCTCCACGCCCCCGAGCACCCTGTCCCTGGACGTCAACACCACCTGCGCCCAGATCACCATCAAGGGCCAGCTAAAACCCAATACAGCGTAAGTTGGTGGTTAGGTGGTTAGGCGGTTAGGTAAATTCCACGGTTA